AAGTAAAACTACATATTTGATTTTTATCAAGAAAAGACATGAGAGGTTTTCTTTGGTTTTTTCCCAGCTAAAAGAACAGAATAGGAAAAGATTTTCTGAGGTCACTGAGGCACAGAAACTAAAGTGATTATTTAGCTTCTGTGTCAGCACAACCTCCTTTGCAGTGTCCTACCTGCCAGAAGACAGATGACTTGGTACAGAGACCTAAGTACAAACAAAAATAGAACAGAAATTGGAAGACTTAAGAAGGCCAAGAAGAGGTATTTGTAAAAGTTTGTCCAGCATTTTAGTCAGAAAGAAGCTTTTTTAAACATAATGCAAGAACCATTAGATATCCATTCACATTATATCTATCAGAATTTAGTAGAAAATCTTTTCATAATTACAACTAATTCAAATTCAAGGCAGTTCCTTCAGTAAGTACCTTCTTACTGATATTTATTTTACTAAGCTAGTCTCAATAATGAAATTCCAATTAGTGATCTTCTATGAATAGCATATATTCAGTTTGCACAATTTGAGAACTCTTTTGTTTTCATCAACTAAACAAGATTATATTCCTTCAAAAATTGCATTATTCAGATTTGCATGTTTAGGCTGAAACTTGTTGAACCATCACATAAAATCATCACTGCAATTATCTTTTCCAGTTCTCATTTCTGAACAGATGCCAGTGAGGGACACAGCAGCAGAAACAACCTTAAGTGCAGTACATTGATTCTTCCTCCAGAACAGTTATCTGCACTGGATTTTTCAAAGATCAAGCTCACATAAATGCTTAGCAGTTTGCACAAATAAAGGAGTTTATGGAAAGGTCCAAGTATAATCTTAGGCTCAGATGAAGAAGTGGCGGAAGCCACTTAATATTCCTCACAAGGATATGAAGGATAGGAGACAAAAAGCATGATTTGGCTTTTTTTTTTTATGTCAAGGAATTTTCTATGTAGAAAGTTGGGTTTGTATTTAAGTTATGCACCTGTATGAGAACTCAAAAGAAGTTGACAAAATATACAACACTTATTTCCTTATTTTTATAGCTGACCTTTAAAAACATGTTTTTAAACATACTGCCCATTTAGCTATTATAGTTCATAATTTTAAAAGCATGTTACCATTCAGGATGTACAGAACAAACAGCATGGTTCCCTTTTCTTCTCCCTCAGATTAATTTAGCATAGCTATTTTTATTTGACACATAAGAACACATTCCAAATTAGCAATGGAGGGACACCTGGCAACCTATTCAGCAAGGAAGCTCCTGCTCTCAGTCAAACATTGCAGAAGGTGTTCTATTGCAGACATAGCACAACCTTCAAATTAACCTCTAATGTTTGACCTCAAGGTTAAAATTAGTGTCTGTGAATATTTACAACTTTAACATTTCATCATTTGAAAATTTAAGCACCGTTTCCTACATTAAGACAGGAATTTCAGAATAAAAAGATGGTATGATTGTACAATCAGGATGGGAGGGTTTCCATATAGGCAACCAAAATGAATTCTAGACTTAAAAATCACTCTTTGGGAACACCTTTTTATAGCAATGCCTGCATTTGCACACAGCAAAAAACAAATTACATACAGGTAACATTGGCAAAAATATCCCTTAATCTGCAGTAGAAGAGCAGTACCTCTATAAGTGCTGGGAAGTGCAGCTGCAGCATGTATTCCCAGGGACCTGCATGAGCTGTACACACCCCACTGTGACACACAGAGCTCCAGCTACAGTGCTGCTGGCACTCAAACTTTACAGAGTGAGACCAGCTGAGAGAACACTACGTGTCTTATAACTCATTCCGCAATAGCTAATAAAGTTCTACACAGCTGTTGAGATCTACCTCAACTGAGCTCTTACAAAGTAGATGCTTGTTTAAACACTAAACTTACTGAAAAATCAAGGTCTGCCTGGCAAAAACAAGCATTTGTCTTTGAAAGATGACATCATGTGCTACATGACTATTTTTCCTCTTCAAAGACAAATAAATGCATTTTCCAAACTAAAAAGATAACACATTTTTTAATTTTTTAAAATCCATTTAAGAGATGGAAAGGCAGTAATCTGAAACACAGAATGCCTGAAATTACTTCATTTATTTAAAAATTATTCCTGTTTTGATTTTCAATGTATTAAGTCCCAGTAATACAGCACTACCTAAAATAGGAATGTAGCAAGTGATCAAGTTAAGGATGATAACATTTTGCTCAGTTCTGAATGAACTTAAAATTGTGAGTTCAAAAGTTACAGCATGTAACATTGAGCTCTCCTAATTCTGGTATCAATAAAAATGAGTTCAAACTAAAGGGAAACAACATTTTAAAGGCTGAAGTAAGATATAACTATCTGTAAAATACTATACTGCATTAAAGAAATAATTTTTTGCTACCAACTTATTATCTCCATTGGTTTTACCTGACTTTAATATTTTTAAAGACTAATGTTGTTGTAAATATTTTGTCTAAAACATGTGCCTGTACAGTGGCTAAGCTATGACAGCTATGACTGAGATGAGTGGTTCACCTACATCAGTTAAAGTGACCAAGATGACAGAGAGACATGCAGTCTTCATTCAGTACCTTTACTAGGTATAAACATCACCACATACTTGAGTACTTGGGTGCTCATTTGTAATCAAAGTCATAAAATAAATGTGTGTATATATATATATATATATATATTTGCGTGTGTTTATCAAGAACTAGATCGGACAATAGAGGAAAAACTTTCGGATCTGCAAGCAGTACCAGAATCATGACCACAGGCTCACTGATTCTCTTCTGGGGCATCCAGGACCACCAAGACTGACTCACCTCTTTGCTCTCTTCATATCATCAGAGATACCATGTCATTCTGGATGGCTGCTGTTTCTACCACAATTCCTAAAGAGATTGTTGAGATCCCAGCTAGCAAAAGTCCACTGTAAGTAGAAGGTCAACAGGCAAAACTTGGAGCAAAGAGATGAGTTTGAATGGCCCTGTTCATGCTGCCATGAAATAATATTTTACCTCAGCTCCTGTTCTACAAATGACCACCCTTCCAGAACCTCTAAAATATCTTCTACTACAACTTGGCAAAGAGGAGGCAGGGGACCAATGTCAAGCAGCCAACAAGGATACAAAACAAAGGCTTACATATTCATTTGCCTATCTCAGTCAAAACAATATTTTCTCAACTGAATTTCTGAGAGGATCAGTAAAGGAGAACCTGATAGGACATCTGCCTTCCCTGTTCATGCCTTACCTAAATCAGGATCTGAGGACCAGCAAGTAAAATCCATGCATATATGTGAGTTATAGAAATCATAAGTAAAAAACCAAAATGAAAAAGATTAAAAGTATTAACCCGTTTACACAATAGAAGCATTGTACAGCAAAATTCCCAAAAACTGACAGGTACAAAATCACATCCAGATACTATATCCTGCAAGACTTTACCACACAATTAAAAACTTAACAATACAATAAGGAAGCAGGCCAAAACTTCTTCTAACAAACCCGTATCATGAGGTACTTAAAAGTTGTTATTGAAAATGTAAACATTTAATGATATTTTATACTAAAACTATCCAATAAATTATTTTTACATTGTTTAACTTCCTTTGTATTGATCTTAAAATGCTTTGGGAATACTCTGATCTGATTATCTAGAGGACTTCCCAAAGACTAAGAAAAGCTTCCATAAAGTGCATAAATACAACTTCTTCTATGTGGGTCTATATAAACTCTACCAAGATTAGGGAAAAGCTTCCAAACATACAAAAAACTCCACTGCATCTAAAATACTAGTTATCCTGCTCAAACATACAGCAAAGTGAAAATAACCAATGCAGATGGCTCAGACAAAATTACAAACATTCAAGGAGTATAATAAGAATAAAACTATTAATTTTGTTTTCTGATCAGACAATGTGCTCATTTTCTGTTCAGTCTATTAATTACTAATCAGTTATCCTGATTCTTTTAAACAATCACCAGAGCATGACTTGGGCAGAGGGATGCACACACAGGCAGAATCACATTTTACAGCATCCATTGAGTGACCTGAAATTGAAGCCCTCTTGCAATATTATCTCTAGCAAATACGAATAAATTCATATTTGCAGCTAGACTATTTACAGAAAATTTTACATGACAGAAAATGAGACAGATCCCAGTGCAAATTTTAAGAATCTAGCGAAAGAAGAAAATTGTCTTACAAATTACCACTACAGCAAAGAGGAAAGCAAAAAAATGGGACAATTAGAAAAGATATATGACAAAAAGGCAGTTAGATAATATGGCTTCCAAAGACATTTTTGTTACAATTTACATATTGTACATTTCACTTACAAAACTAAAACCTTAAGCTTAAACTCTCCAAGCATATAATATGAGTATGTATTATATCCCTGCACCAGTTATGAGCACTTTGACATTCTATTTCTATATTATATTAAGGCTGAAATGGAGTTTCTGTCCTGTTAGTCTTGAGTATTTTGAACAGCGAAACACTGCCACCTTTTGTCTTGATACATAGACCTCCCAATTTTAAATGTTGAATTCCATCTTTTGCTCCACTTGTCCTTATGGAGGTGGGTGAATCCTTGAGGTCTTATCTAAAATTTTATTCAGTAGACATACTTCACCAGAAAGAAAAACATACAGTACTAGTCAATAAGGAAATTTTTTCTCCTAAGTACATAGCCAAGCAACTCAAACTATACTCCTTTAGGCCACATAATGTTTTACCTATTTTCCATCTCACAACTCTTTGGTCTTGGCAGTTTTGGTACACATACACGCTGTATCACATGATACCTTGCATTGCATTCCTTCCAAGTAAAAACCTGGTAATGCATTCTTTGAACATCTGAGTTTTGAAAACAGACAATAGAAGTAACAATAATGCATTATTTAAAATGTTAGGCTCCTTGCCCATGTATATACCTACATTATTGTAGGCAAAACACTGATAGTTCAACATCTACATAAGTATGTATTGAAATGTATGCAAAATTACTTACACCAGTGACACAATGTCCCCACGTTGTACATCATAATTTCTAATGCTCCAGTGGTTCAAGAGTACTACATCAGATGCTTGTCTTCCCCCAGGATTCAAAGAAGGCTGAGAAGGGGAGAAAAACAGACCTACATTTAGATCTACATTTTCTTTTTCAATCTTCCCCCTAATTACCTTTCCATCAACACGTGAAACACATTAAAATTGATAAAAAACATACCAATACTCACCATAAGAGGCCAAGAATCTGTTCTATTACAGGAAATACATTTGAAATACACTTCTTTATTAAATGACACGTTAAAGATCATTAATTCATGACACTAGATCATTAAAGATCATTAATTCATGAATTCTAGTTCACATCTTTTAACGCACTACTGCATGCAATCAGATTGCACAGGATACATACTTATGTTGTCATTATATCGCAAAGGTTCCATTTGTTGTTGTCATTATTGCAAGGGTTTCATACCTCCTTGATGTTTCTCATAGGCAGCTCCTCTAAGCACTGACTCTTCCTTCTTCTTACAGCAGCCAACCGACTCCAGTTCCCCTCAACCAACCAATCCACTCTTTTATAACACTCTTCTTATTGGTGACAGCTGTAGCCTGTTAAAGTCAGGCCTGCTCCTAATCTTTAATAATTAGCCCAGCTGCAACTCCTTAGGGGTAAGATTACTTTCTATACTACCTTTATTTTCTTATATTCTATCCCCCTACATACTTACAGCAAACCTGATGAAAAGAAGGGATTGTTGTTACTCCTTATCGTTTAAGATTAAAATCAAAGGCGAACCAAGTACACTAATTCCCAGGGAAAAAAAAAAAAACAATAAAACCAAAAAAAACACCCAAGCTTTTTGCAGGCATCTTACTATTTATAAAAGCATAATGCACTAAAAATGAAATATGGACTTGTAGCAATAGTAATCTCAGCATCCTTTGCAAAGGGGAAAAAAAAGCCCTATATCTACAGCACACACTGACACTGGCAACAAATGTGGGCCTTCCATAACAGGACACAAAAGGGCATGAATCAAAATAATGAAGTAATTAATGCATAATTAGGAGGCACATCAAATCCCCCAAAATTATTTTGTGTGATATGATACAAAACCAGGGTACCTGATCAATGCTTCCTCTGAGTTAACTCTTGGGAAAGGGCAGAGGAAGAAGTCCATCACAATACTGTCTTTACTCATTTTTTCAAGGTTTACTTTAAAACAGAGACTCCTTTTACTAGATAGAAATTATTTAAGAGTATTCAAGACTGAAGTTTTCTATTTATTTCTCAGAAAGCTTTTTCAGGGTCTTCAAACAAAATTACAGTATCTCTCAATTTGGCCAAGAGATAATCACTGATTAGAGTTAGGTGATATATGCCATAAAGCACATGTCACAACTAAGCTACCCCTCCTTTGTATGGTAATTGCAGTGTTAGCTAAAAATTTGGTTATTGTTGCTGTTGTTGTACAAAAGGCACGTACATTATAACTTGAACCATCACATAAACCACTGGACTTTCACTGCTGATATTCTCCTTTCCAAACTGATGGTACCTTTGATGAGTAAACCAACAGGAGGACTTAAATTAACTCTTCTCAACCCTAGTAATTACACAGTGTCAAAATTCATTCTGTCACTACTCAGAAAACTGCTCTCAAATGAAATGGTTATTTAGTATTTATTTTTAACTTCAAAAGCAATTTCTCTTTATTACAGTTTCTTCATTCCTCATTGGTTGAATGATTGGTTCACAAAGACATGCTTCAAAGGGGATTTGTGAAAAATTAGTTTTTCAAGGTGAAAGAGGAAGGGTCCTCAGTAGGTGTAATTCACATGAACAGTATGCAATAAGCTAGGTCAAAAGAATAAACATGGTAGAGAGAGGGGGAGGGATATGACATCATATGCTTAGTTAAAGAGCAAACAAGGCTAGTTACATTTTGGGCTACAGGCAAATTTCCAGTAAGGTAAATCAGGGGATCAAAGCAGATCACTTGAATACCCATAGAGATATGATCTGAGTCTAAGCTATAAATATATTAGTACTCATTGCTGCTTTATTTACTAGACTCAATGCACTGCAAGGACCAGATAAATGAAAACCAGGAGCTAATTAGCAGTTATTTTATTAGTAGTTTTTAATTAAGAGTTCCAGAATTATTTATCACCTTTACAGCATTTTCCACCAAAGGATCAAATATTTACATACAAGTGACTTACATACAAACTCACAAACAATTCAGTCATACTCACTTTGCCAAATGCAGGTACATAAGGGCCAGAATCTTTCAACACTACTAAGTATAAGGCACAGGCCAATCTTACAAAGCAGGAGTCATACATAAGACATATTCTCACAAAGTAAACTCCTTAGTACTCAAAGGTATCTGCCTTAAAAGGCCAAAAGAGGAGGATGAAACCTTTAATAGAAACCTTAAAACCATTGTTCCAAAAGATAATGTATCTAACAGCTGATATTTAGAATATATCTAAATAAGTGCTTTCACACTTTTTGTATCACATAAACTTACATCAACTACATCTTACAGAGAAATACACCAGGTAGTTACAGTATTGCCCTAGTTGCACTATCCCAGTTGACTCCTATTTTTTATGCATTTAAACAAAGGCATTACCTTAGAATTCAAATGCATTTGGATATTGCATAAGCTTTTTTAACTTAAAGCACTCAAAATGCATTTTTAACAATACCTGACCTCATTTTGACATATAGAGTAGATATTCAACTCATACATTAGAATGTTGTTTGAGAAAAATACAACAGTATAGGCTTTTTTCTTCTCTCTCACAAAAAAAAAAACCACCTGACAAACGTGCAGACAATAATACTATTTTATTAGAAAAAAGCGAAGGAAAACAAGGGGACAACTATTCATTTACATCATCACTATTGTCTATTACAAAAAATAAAAGGATAAATCCTTCAGCAAGCCTCTCTATTGTAAATAACTATTGTATATTCTTCTCTATTGTAACTAACTGAGATTCCACAACAAACAAGTATAGAAACAATACTACTTATTCCTCATGATATTTTAACTGCTAGTAAGGTTTCAGGTCTAGGAAAATCAAAATACAGCTTCTGCAAAAGGAGTCAACAAATAGGGTCACAAGGATTTTTCATAAGAAACAAAATGACACAGAGGTTTCTTCCTTCTAGTCTGAAGCATTATAACTTCTTTGCTCAAGTTTTTGGCATAAAAACCTGCTACAAATAAGGCACACAGGTCTTAATTTAAACTGCGGTGCAGAAGCCACAAAACATTACTCTTTCCAATTATTAACTAATCTAATGCTAAAAGCATGCAAATTGAGATCCCCAGCCATATGATGAAGCCTCATAGGACATGAGGTTCCATAAGTAGGAGAGTAAAAACATGCCCTTTTGCTATAAATAATGATTAACTTGATAGTTGTTATGCTGCTAGTGAAGGTCACAACTTATTTGCTTGAAGCTTGGGGAACACAAAGAATATTCACATGAGCTTACAGGCTTAGGTACAGTAATCCTAATAATAAAGTTAGGAGAAACTGCCACAGAATAATTACAACTGCTATTATGCATAATGGAATAGAACATTCAATAATGTTTGCTGCAGAAACATGAGTGCTTCATCAGAGATCACTGCTCAGGTCACTTCCTACAATCCTTGGTGTTGAACTGTTTGCAATAGAACTTGCATATAAAGCTGCACATATGCTGTCATTCTCTATCCCACTTTAAAACAGTCCACTTGATTTAGTGAATTTACAAATTTATATATCCACAAGGGGTTCCTTTTCCACATCTTTATGTATGAAGAGTCTGTAATACTGGACAAGCAAGGAAACTCAATAAAAAAATAACATAAATCAATATCAAGCAGTCCATATGACAACAAACATTTTAAAGACACTACAAGAAGTCACACAAAAAAATTCACAACAGTCAATTAAGAAATCTTACTAACAGTTATTTTTTTCACTTACATTTAATATTGTAAACAGATTACAATTCACTAGAAACACACTATTAATAGAATGATAGATGAGCATATCAATCTAAGCAACAAACTATCTCATGTGATGATTAAAAATCTCAGGAAATTTGGAAATAAAAGAGAGGGTAATGAAACTATTAAACTGTTAAAATTATAAACTGCAATAGCTCACACTTATTCTCTATAGGTTAGAGTTAATACACATATACACTGAAGTCAGCACAAGTGAAATTATGACAGGTAGCTGAAAGCACTGAAAAATACAAAATCAGCTGGAGACAATGGAATGCATGAAGTCTTTCTTAATTGGTTGGGTCAGAAAATTTTAATTTTCATTAGAAGCTTTATTCATATGCTTGCCAGGGTGTCAAAAAGTGTTCCCATTATCAGTACTGTGAAGCAGCAGTAAGGCTGGTTCCAGAACAAATGGAGAAAGTGTAGGGGGAGAGAAAGCACACAGCAGAGAACAAGAGCAGGAGAGCAAGCATGACACATAGAAATTTATTTCTTGCTTCTTATCAAAACTTTTAATTTCAGGCTCATCAGGAGCCAGAATTATGAGTATACAAAGGCAGCTAGACAATTTAGAGGTCTATTACAAACAGATTCTTGAGAATCTTACCATGGTATCAAATTGAGACAATAAGGTATGACTGGAAGCATGTGATTGAAGGATACAATCTGACTTCAAACCGACTGAACCTCAGTCTTCCTCACACCTATGGCTTTAAGATATGTTTGACATAGATCACTCTCCAAAGAACACAGCTAACAGAGAGAATTGCAACATGACCAGTGCTCCCTCAAGCTACTATTAAGGAGAGAGATACATTCCTTATAATTGTGTCCCTGTCAGACTTGCTTAGATGTCCAATAAATCTTGGCAAGGAAATTAGTATCTTATTAAAAGCACTAGGATTTTTTTTTCAATCTGAAAAATGGCCATATCCATAGAAGTTTAAAACAAAACTCTATTTCAGTTCTGTTTCAGAATACAACCAGAGAGTTTTACAAACACTGAAGTGTCAGTAAAATTATTAATGTCAGCTTTCAAGCTATCCATTTTTCAGTCAACAGAGGGAATGTTTAGTTAACAGATACAGCAAGGGAAAAGCTTCAATTTTAATAATCCAATGATTATATATATTGCTTTCCCTTTGTCAGATTGAATAAATCCAAGAAAATGACTAGTGTTCTTCGAATCTTCCATGGATAAACCACAGTCAACTATGTGCTCTTCAAGTGAGTAGCAAAGCAACACTCCAAAACAATACCAGAGCACTCTCAAACACTTGGGACTGACTTCAAAGAAAATATAAAACTGAGGTACTAACCAGAAGCAAAACAGACTTATGGAGAGGGAAATGTAAGAAATTTCTATCCAGCTACTGAAGCAAAACTATTGCACAATAATGGATGTCAAACAGAACACTACATCAGAGGCAGAAAAAGATGAAACAATAAATGGCAAAGTGGTGTGCTAAAAAAAACATTTAAACATTTAAATGCTCAGGTCACACCCGCTAATAGCAAAAAAAAATCCAAAAAACAGAAACAAACAAAGGCAGAAAGCCAAAACAAAAAATCCAACATGAATCTGCATCTTAAAACATTCCATGTGGCTCTAGACCTGCAACAGAGGCAAAAAATGGGAAGATGGAAAACAGAGGAGTTGTACTCATCTGGCTAATTTTGTACTTCTCCAGATGCTGTGCTATATATTTGAAGTCCTCCTACCTGAAGATAGCAAAAAGATAACAGAACAGGTTTTTTCACAGTCTTCCCTTCCTCTCCTTTTTAGTGTGAATTTCTGGCTCTTCAACTGCAAGCCCTCAGATCATCCTCACTTTTACTTGTTATCAATGATATTTAGAAAAACATCTGTGAAAAGGGCAATAATAACTTAGGCTACACCTAGCTTTTGGCCTTGGATTGTAGAATTACTGGAGTAACACAATTTTATTTCCATCACTGTTCTTGATGTGAGAGCTGCCTGCTGAGGTTTCTGGACAGAGTTTAAACATCAGATTAGAGACTGCCACAAAAGACACAATGCCACCTTGACATTCCCTCCTCCCCTCCACATACTCTTTAGAACATTAAACATAAATCAGCCAAGTGCAGGATCAAGCCTAAGTTTTCTAGCCCATGCATAAATTCTGCATAATTGAAACACCAGCAGCTGGTCTTGATTGCTGTGAAATCTCTCTTCAAGGTTCTGAGCTTATTAAGACAATCAGAAAAGAGAGCTTGACATCCAAAAATCAAATCCTTACTCTACTAATTGGAATGTTGCAACATTGGAACAAAATACATCATTGTTATCAGTGGTGATGCATACCAAAGTGCAGTGCATATGATTTAAAATGCAAAGTAATAACATGGAAATTTTCTACCTACGTTAAAATATAGCTTTTTCAAGATCAAATAAACGGTGAAAAAAATAGTATTCATGAGTATTTATCATCTAAATGTTAGGCATTATATTTACTTGCTTATGCTGTATTAGCATTCAATATAACCAAAGTAAAAACAGTGAACTGATGCCTATTTCATGATAAAGAGAAGCAATGACAGTAGGTTCATGCCACTTTCAGTATTCTTCCCTGCAATTGTGCATTATGTGTTCAATAGTAAGAACAAGTATAGCAAGAAACAGTTTTACCATACAGTTACTATAATGTAGCTACTAAAAATTAATAAAGCCTCTTTGTGAGTCATCAATTCAATCCCAAGCAACAAAATATTTTGCTCCAAATATTTCTAAATGTCTAGGAAGATATCAAAACAATCTATCTTTATCACTACTTCTCCATATATTTTCTTTTTACTGACATAGAATTTTGGGAAGTTTTGTTCTCAAAATCTTTTTTTTTCACATCATAAAACATTTAACAAAGTAGAAATTAAACTATTCCATACCAGAACATCATGTAATAACAATTGAGAAAAAGATTTTTTTCGCCTTGCTATAATCAGTGGAGAGCAACCTTTTAATTTCCTGAAAGACCAAGATATTTCCAGCAATACCTGCATTGATGCTCCTTCCACCCTTGCGACACAGGCAACTCTATCCAGAAAAGTCACAGTTACAGGAACGGCAACAAAGAAACCTTTAAAAAAGGCTTTAATGTATCTCCTCCCCAACCTCTGAGCCTGTGCCATAGTCTGAAAAACATGAAGGAAAAGAAAAAAGTCATTATAGAAAAAATTTGAAGTAACATCAACATGTTGCAATTTAACACAGAATAATTAAGAATAAATTTATTATCTGTTAGAGGTTCACAATATTCAGAGTGAAAAAAAAGAATGTGTACATGAGAATGGAAAAAACCCCAAACCAACAAACCAGAAATCTTAATCAGATTTTAAATGTCTATTCTACAGAACAGAGCTTGATACTTCACATTTACTCTTTAGCTAATCTGAACATTTCTCACAATCCTGTGCCAGCAGAAGTACTTGATAAAAATTATTCAAGGTGGCAGGTAAGCAAGAAGCAAAGTGATGCAAGCAGACAAAATTCAATAATGCATTTTGGAAGAAAGAAGCATTGCAAATAATTTTCACTCCACACACTGGTATTTATTCATTTTTCACCCCCAAAGGTGGATTGTGTTAAGCAAAGGAAAGCTATTTGCAACACATCACCTTTTCTTTAATAAATATTTCCACAAATGAAAATGCACAAATGCATCATTTTCACACTGGTGGTACTGCAAACATAAAATCAATTCAAATTGTCACACATATCATAGGGACACACCATAACATGATGACTCCTTGTTCACCACTCCATCAAGGTTAAAAGCGTGCTGGCAGACTAGGCAGCTATGTAATGACACATGGGATGATTCCACTCCAGCTCCATGTATTATACTACCTCTCAACTCTTTTATTTAGCCCTGAACATGCTTGGAAAATACCTACAAAGTGTACTGAGACACCAGCTGTTTGTTTGTATTAGTCATCCCTCTGAAAAGCAAGCTGAATATCCAGGTACTGCTGCATAGACCCAAGCCTAATTTACATAACTGCAGTTGGATTATAAGAAATGCTGTCTTTCACCTATTGGCAACTCCCTTTTAAACTGCTGCTTGTGTTTATATCCAAGAATATAGAGTTATTTTTCAATTAAAGTAATGAAAAGTATAAATATATACAGTTTCATTCAATCCCCTTACAAAGTACTTAAAATTTCACAATACAATCCTTTTTTCTTTGTTGCATTTTCAGAAACATGGAAGTGATTAACTATTTGTATGCAGAATATAAACTGATATCGCTCTGATGAAATAGTACTGAAGGTGGTATTTCTGTCACAGATAGAGTGTCTTAATTCCAAACAACCATAAAACCTAAAAAATTCAGTTCTACAAAACAAGCCATCTGCATATTCATCACTAGAATTCTTTATAGATATTAACAGCTTTGCAATGACAAGATCTGTCTTCTGAGACTATTACTTGTGACATTCACCTTCAAAAGGTTTTAATTTTTTTTAAGTGGAAATATTTAATCATCTGTAACTTGCTCACAAGTTTAGATTTTCACACTGCTTGTAATTCAGTCATTTTCTTTCTGAACATTTCATGAAAACGTTTTCAATTCGCATCAACCACTTATACAAGTAATTTGTAATAGGCTGTGAAACAGAACAAAGCCCTCAACATTTCAAGACAAAAGCTATAAGGATTTACTCTCAGCTTATCATTTAAAATCTGATTATTAGATTCAATCCACCAAAAGAGACTATTGCCTCAATCAGTAAAGCTTTACCTTTGGAAAATATGCCACTTTAAATACAATCTCTAAAAATCAGATTTTTACTACATTATCAATGCAGTCAAAAAATATTTTGACTACATTATTGCCTACACCTTAATACTCTTCTCTCAACCTATTTACTTTGAACTTTGCATCTTGAGTTTTGTGGCTGGAACTCTACTTCTCTGCTATGAGGTCTGGCATCCCAGACCTCCTCTGCTCTAATAGCAATGCCAGCCACAAAACCCCACTTCGAGACCTTACACACAAATATATTCACCATGTTCTCTAGAGGAACTTAAGCAGGAAAACATTGTCTGACACATGTATCACAATATGGCTGATTTAAGAATAGTTTTTAAAAATTCAGAAATCAAACAACTTCTCTTAAAATTCCTCAAACATCTTTTCCATTAATAATGAAACATGAATATTCATCCCATCCTGTCTACTGAATCCATGGACAGATATTGTTAGAAACTTCCTGCAGAAGCCCCATGCTAGTATCTACAGAAAAATCCAGAATCTGAAGAGAAGTAATTGGCCAGACAATCCACAGGAGACCCACCATATGCTTCCTAGAACTACAAGCTAATTAATAGCGACAGAGAATCTAGCAGTCAGGTTACAACTGCTAAGACAAAATGCTTCATTCTCAGTACACCACTTGGACAAGGCAACACCAGCAGTACTAAGCAGCTGTGGACAACAGTGGGAATTAAAGTCTTACTTTTGTGGGTTTAAACACATGTAGGATTACATGGCACAATATAAAAAAAACATGAGGGGAAAAGCACCAACAGCACCCCTACAAGCAATCAATTTGCAAAGCCACCAAAACCAACAACTTATGTGCTCAAGGACTTCTCTACTTGTCCCAATTTTTTTCCTCTCAGTAAGAGATCAAATCATTGGTTTCGTCTTCCCTGTACACCAAAATGATGAGTCCTTCATTTATAATGATGAGCTACATTCTGAACTTTTCCTGGTTCCCCACCTCCCACAGCAAAGGACAGCTTTTCCCCATAACACAAACTGAGCTGCTCAGCAGAAGCCTTTCTTCCTAAAAGACAGCAAACATTTGCACACACATTCCAAACAATTTGAGAAGAACTATTTAAAAACAATCCATCGACAACCTTAAGTCCTTTCATACAGCGAAACATTTTCAACACATAGCTAAATTACTACATATCAGTATCTGACTTAACAGTGCTCACATTTTTGCCAGGTCTGCTTCATAAACTTTCCCCTCTAAAAAGCACAAATGAGTAAATAATACACATGCAGACTTCCCATGCAACTGTTGACAAAATAGTTCACCACCCAAGTGCCAGTAAATGGGAAGTTTCCCCTCACTCTTTCCATACAAGGAGCTCCAAGTTGTCTTGCACTGCCACAGGGGAAGGGCAGCAGAAAGGCAATTTGCAGCATTACCTTCTACCAGTAACTGGACATGTGAATGGATAATCCTCAACTGATAAATACTGCTGGATTAAAATGTTCAGTGTTATTTTTTCTTAAACTTTGATGGTCGTAGGAGAAAAGAAGGGGAAAAAGTAATGATAAGCATTTACTGCACTCACAAGAGAGAATTTAGGGCAGTAAAGGGTAGACACAAAAATTACTCTTAAAAGAAAAATTCTGGTTGGAGTTTTTTTATAAAGAAAACATAAGATAGTCATCATTCTTGAAAATAATATTCTGCTCTTAGAGATTTCTAAAACAGCTGTAGATTTTAAAAGCATCATATTTCTGGAGTGAAATTGTGAAATACGGTGCAGTGTCAGATTTACTATGACAGGTTTAAATGCATGTCAGTGAGTTAAGCCAAGTATTGTTTACTGAAAAAAATAATTTCCCCACCACATATTTTTGGATCTCTGACCAATTTGACAGCTTGAATAAGATCAACAAACCACAACACTTAAAATATGTGGGGGAAAAAAAAGAAGAAACCTAACCAAATACAAAAAAACTCAATAAAATACTTTAGAGATGCATACACTTTTCAGCACCTCTACGTTACACTTGGTTTAGAGAAAGAAAAAACCCCACAGAATAACTCAGTAGAAGTGACAAACTTCAAACCAACAACCTTGAAGACTTGTTTGAAATGGAAACACGGACAAGAAAAATCCAAGATCAAAAATGCTAGCATATAGCAGGTCAAAGCATTAAGAATTTCACATTGTGCAGCTCAGAGATTAAGGCAGATGGAGCACAGCATTATCCGGACTGAAGTATTTGGTGCACAAAAGGTCCAGGGATTATAATGAGCCCCTCATGGGTACTACAACATATGGAGCAGAGATGCTATTTAGATAGCTCTCTATGTATAAAATGTTTATTTTTTTCTTACACTTGCCTGCACATTAGAAGACACTGTTTATCACACAGCCTGCAGAAAATCATCAAGTAATTCAGAAAGCCCCAGGTTACAATATATTTGCAAACCTAGGTACTTAAAAATTACCCACAGAAGTATGATAGGAAAAATAGCTGTAAAAACAAGGCATTAGCAGTCATCTGCAAAGGAAACAGAATGGCCCCTGATGTGCTTCTACAAGAAGACGTGAGGGAACAGGAAGGAGGGAATTACAACCTATATGCAAAGCAACTACCCCATCAAGACTGCTACATTTGTGTGAAATTATCTATTTGATCTTGTTCAGGAATTAGTAACTATATGATATATAGTTCAAGAATCCATTGAAACAACCAACTTCTCTGCCAATCAAAATATGCGTCTTTAAATAAATCAATTGCACCACACTAGAATTCAGGAGATATGGTTTGAAAATAAAAAAGACTTTCAAAACAAAAAACTTCACAACACATGAATAAGCCAAATTTTGTTGTGTCCTATAAAACACAAAACTGAGGACAAAAGCTTTTGTTTTAAGACTGGTCTAATTTGAATATGAGGTTATACCTGGCTTAACAACCATGATTAACAGGATACCACTCAGTATAAGAATTTGTGTGACCTTTTTACACACTCTTTTTCTACAATCTTTCATGATACAAGGCCAGAGTTAAATATTGCCATGCAGACTGAGCCTAATTTCCCATTTTAGTTTCACATTTCCGTAATTTTTATATTATAGTGATTACTGTAAGGGTACAAGTATGCAGAGTTTTTAGTAGGCTTATTTAACTCATATATATTTACCCAAGTACAGGCTTGGACATGATGGTGATGAACGCCACAGAAGAATCAAAATAGACTAGCCCATAAGTTTTCAGTTAGAATAATCAATATAGATCAGTGCATTTAAGTTTTCATATAAAAATCCTATCTAATTCCAGAAGAAGCTCTCATTTATCCTTCAATAAAGCCAACTCTATCCTGGTATTATTCCACTATAGTGGTAACATGCCTATTCAATTAATGAATTTATATTCTGCACAGGTTTTACTCATCCTACTCGTCCATCATATTACTCTCTCTCTATCCCCTAGCACACAGACATGAAAGAACACCCCTCTATTTTGAGTTTGGAAATATCTCAGGTCATGGAAACAACTTTTGTGTTACTAAAGAAGAAAATCATAACCTAATCTGCAGTTTCAGCAACTGCACATGTATGCTCTGCTGTTCTTTTTTCTTTTCTCTAAATTACTCTTTTTGTTCTGACACCCAGATGTTTTGCTTGTTCCAAATACAAAACAGCAGATTTTGTTAGTTTCAACTCCATTTTGTACCATTTTCTTATGCGTTTGCTTGAATTTAAGCAATTACAATTTCCATGTAATAGCTCCCAGCCCTATGAAATATGTAGAATTTTTTCCAGTATACCACACTAAAGAAAAACAATAATAAAAATCCACTTTTCTAATCTTCTCTGTAACATACAGAGAAGTTCCCAGAAGCAGACAAAACCAGATCAACCATAATGAGCTTTCAGCTCACAAACCAAATAGAAAAGCTTAAAGCACAACAATCATGAACATAATCAGCCATAGATTTATTGCTGAGGGAAAAAAGTCAGTCTAATGTGGAACTGATTCTTCTTTTAATACAATATTACTATATCCCATCACTGGGATCTATGTCATGTCAAAGGCTTAGTTGATGTGTTGGTTGTAACTGGAAAGAAATTCATATTGCTTATTCTTAGAAATTAATTTTGTGTTTCAAGTACACAGATTTTACCCTAATGGACAATCTTGTACTTCCAAACAGAACATTTTACTGTTCAAATATAAGCAAAACTAGAAGAAAACACAGCTGGAGATCAAAGTTAGTCTCAGCAATCAAATTAACAACTAGCTTAGAATGGCAAGTCATCAGCCATCCCTTAGCTCTGACAAGTTATTCAGGATTCCATTTTCTACACACAAGCATCAAGGATACAAATTACAATTAAAAACATTAGTAATTGTTACAAATCAGATTTTTTCCCAGCACTTCAGATGTAATGAAATATCTTCCAAGTGCTAGCATGCAGGTGGCTGGCAGAGTACCAGTCCTTCTAACATAAAAGTTACAATATTTGGGTTTATTCATGTTCCTGCACCTTCAAAGAAACTAAAGATCATTAATATACACTGTAGATACAGGAAAGTACTAAATTACATTAATTTTTGGAACTCACTTAAGAGAGCAACAGAACACATGTTCAGCTTCTTACAACTGAAAGTTCTGTGTTGCTTTCAGCCTAAGGATTCAATGCCTAAGTTAACTGTTTAAATTAAAGTGTCCTTTGCAAATAACTACCAGCTGCTGCTATGTTTTGCTCTCAAGTAGACTGCATAAATGAAGAGTTGCTTTGAAACTTACCAAATTTGTAAATTACATTTACAGTAAACAATAGCATAACCTTTGAATTTCAATGAATTTGTGCATTCATCTAGTCAGCTCTCTGGGTTCTTTCAAGCACCATTGAACTGTGATGTTAGTTGTGGTTATCCAGAACCAAATTCAGGCAAAAACAAAGACAGCAAAAAAAGGAAATATTCATTTTTCACTAAAATATATAGCTTCAAGTATTCAGATAACATTCAATGAACAGCCTTTTAAAAGTAAGAATAACAGCACTCAGCTTCAAGCATTAACATCATCAGAAACAAATTCTTCTAAATCATTTTGCCTTTGGATTAAGAAGAAGTTTCATATGGAACAGGGAAGGTTCTTCTAGCCTAATAGAAAGTCAAATGCATACAAAACCAAATTAATAGAAGAAAGAAGAGTCTCAGCTATGAATCTTTAAAGCATGCCAGTATACACTGAGTATACGAGAACAGAATAATGACTGAAAATAATATTTATTATGGTATGAAAAAATGATGCCAAGAGAAAGAATAGAAAATTATTTTACTATTTGAAAGGTATTTTCCATTTTCAGCATATTTCACAAAAATAACAAGTTCTCCCACAACTACTGTAAAAGCAGCTTTGTGTATCCTTGTTCAAAGCAGGGAAATTGGGACTGACTCCTCGACAGAACATTCCCATGAAAGCCAGCAGTAAAACCCAATGAACCGACTACTTACCACCTGCTGTCTGGGGAATAGTAATAAACTACATGTACAAACTAATACAGAAAATCATGCCTTCAAAAATAATTGCCTTCATTTTAACAACTCATGTTTTATCCTTGAACTCTAGAGGTCACTGTGGGAGGTCTTAAGAGCAGACCTAGTGTACTTCATCATTCCCCACCATACTGATTTTGAGTCTAGGATTCTTGATAACTTAAACTGCTGTGAAAGTTTCTCAGGTCCCAAGAATAAGCAAAACAGCTTAACAAGCATAAGGATATGGATTTCCAGAAACAGATTAAATCTCTGGCACCCTAGTCATCTAATAAAGATCTCACCACAAAATTACAACTGTGACTGTGAAACCATTTGTATCTTCAAATTATTGCTAGCTTGCTTAAAATACTATTTTCAGGGATCTGGACATCACCCACTACTATAATATGTGTATAGTTATTTACCACCAGTTCCAGGAGAAAATTTATTTCGGTAACATCATACAAGTTAAATAAAAGAACATGTAATTTTAAAAGTAAATTAAGAGTCCTGAAAATCTTCCAAATACAGTAGTTAAAAATGTTGAGTTGTTTTACAAAATGCATATGTATTCAGTTACAAAGCTGCATATTGGAAAAAGAAAGTCTAATTCTGAAGTTTTCTAGAGGAATTATTTCACTTAACCTGAAAATCCTCAAGAAGCTCTGTCTTCCTAATATATTTTGTTGACAATTTTGATTTTCTTCCTAGATGAACAGTGAACAAGTATGTGTGGCATCTGCTTTTAGGGGAGAAAAAGAAAATTAAAACGCAGTGGTACAAGAAAATTATTTAGAGAGATATGTAAAGCAGCTTTGCCTATTCTGGTCTCTTGGTGTGCTCAATGAATTCCAGTTCCACAGAACCAGAATGGTAATT